ACTTGACTCAGCTCGCTAGATCTTTTGAACAACATTATAACTGAAGTTATCGTTATCCTCAAATCCGGCAATATGGAACTCGCGAATTGGAACTCTAATCATCAGGACGTTAATGAAACGACCGTCAAGGATCTAAGTCTGAAAATCACCGGGCAGACATTTTTAAATTCTCCCTCAACTGCAATACAGCTCCGAAAAGATGGCACTCGCAAAATAGAACTGTAATCATCAGGACGATAATGATACGACCGTCAAGGATCTAAGTCTGACAATCACCGGGCAGACATTTTTAAATTTTCCCTTAACTGCAGTACAGCTCCGAAAAGAATCATAAAGCGAACTATTCTTTCGCTGACCTCGTCCGTCTTCGATCCGCTGGGACTCATCTCATGGTGGCGGAAATCCTTCTACAGGAAATTGGGCTTCTTACTCTAGCATCAGATGAGTTTTAGATCAAAATGAAGTGAAAAACAGGCCCTGCGAACATCGCAGTCAACGAAGTGGGGCTGATCCACGAGAATCATGTTCCTCCGCATTATTAGGTCGCATGGAAGCGACATTACCAGAAAAGGATAACAACGTCCGAGTCACCGGTGTTCAGACGTCCAAAGGAATTATAGGGCACCCCATTATCAGCCACGTTATTTATAAGTCGATGGATATATACGAAAAATATTTCAGTTAAAATTTGTGTTTGGGAAGGTTTGTAGGCTTTTTAGTGGGAGTGTCACTTTACTTGTGCTGCGAAAGAATCTGTAGAATTTGCATGCCTAACCGAACTTTCTAGATTTATAGTTTCCGAGATACCAACTTTCATACGGACTGTTATAGGTGGTTTCTGGGCGTTAGAGTGGGTGTGGTCATTTGATATGTATTAACGAGAGCGATACATTTCAGTTAAAATGATATTTATGGAACCTAATTCTGATTAAAAATTTATAAACGAGGGTTGATGTATGTTGGGGCGGGATGGCTTGATCGCTGAAAATAGCTGAAGTCCTAAGAACGAATTGTACGCAAAAAACACGGGTGTACTTTGGGGTTTTAACGCGACGTGCAAAGATGTTTATTGGTTCACTTGGAAATAACAACTCGTTAAGCCTAACTTAATTTAAGCGCTCCAGAGCGGAGCTGAGACTTAGGGGAGAGATGGAGGGAGAGCGGACGGCAGTGCGAGCGCGCGAGATGTAGACATCTGTATAAAACTGCCGCTCGACACTGCCTCCTGAAATTAAACGACCTTTTGACGTAAACATTCTCCCTTCCCCTTGCGAGGACACCCGTAGCAAGAAACTCAAAATGGTAGGCTCAGGAATAAGTTGGAAGTGAAGATCGGTCGTCCGTTTGTAGGAGTGTGGTGGCCCTTTCCACACTTGTGGACGAAATGGTGTGTGGAACTGAGGCGGATAAGGGCCTTGGAGGGTCGGATGGAACCGGCGGAGTAGTAGGACCGCTGTTTCGATACAGCAATGTGTGATGCCGATCTTGGCAAGTGAGAAAGTTGTGAGCGCTTGTACAATCCCGGTTTTGATGGCTGCTTGCAAAGCAATTGGAGCAAAACTGCTTCCTTTGTATATAGGCTAGGCGATCGTCTACCGTCATTTGTAGGAAGCGAGGACATATACGCACGGGGTGGTTCTTCTTTGAACACAGACCGCAGCCCGTGGGTATCGGAACTAGCCTTGTGTTGAAGGAATTTATTTTTGGAAATTCTGCCATTCGATTTGTGTCTTTGAACTGGGCGTGGTGGAAATTGGCAGATCGGAAGCTATCGACGGCCTCAAGAGTTCGATGGCGCTCCGTCAAATAGGAATAAAGCTCAAGCCACGTAGGAATTTCGGCTTTATTTTGGATAGATGGCTCCCATAATGAGAGAGAGAGCTTTGGTAGTTTTGTCGAGCACATATAAACCAGGATAGGGTCCAAATTCTAAATATTAACACCGGAAAATTTTAAGAAAGTTAAGCAACCTTGAAAAGAGCGTTGAAGTTCCTTTAAGGCTGCTCCCGACTGCTATGCTATGGATTGCACATTGAAAAGTCTGTTCACCTGAAATCGCTTATTTTCGAAATGCTCATTTAGGTTATTCCAAGCTGAGCGAAAGCCATCATTGGTGAGTGGGGATCTTGAAACTATGGAATGAGCCACTTGTTTTTGGATTTAAGTGGAATAATTTTTCAACTGGCGATAGACTTGGATTGTCTATGTATATTGCCGTGAAAAGGTCCCGGAAAGTCGGCCAGCAAAGATAATCGCCAGAGAAAACCTCTGTGTCGATAAGAGGGAGCCGACAGCCATAAGACGTGGAATTTTGGAACGGAGTTACTGGAGCTTGAGGTATTTGGGAGGAGCCTTTTTGGATTTGTTCCATCAACTGCGCGGAAAATATTTCATAGATGGAGTACGTTTGGTAATACATGGACTTTAGTATGGATTTCGTGTCTGCGGCGCTCTCGCCTGCAGCTATAATGCAGTCGGAGAATATGTCATGCTGCCTTTACCATTTGCCACAAGGAATTAAAGTGATCTCGTCGGATTTTACAGGCGTATAACGTTGGGGTAGGAGCACCTGGAGCGTTCACAGTGGCCTCAAAGTGGATCAGACAGTCAGCTGTGGCCATAAATTCGGGGTAAAGCGGATTTTACTGATGTTGCCATGACGTAAAATAATTTGGAATTTTAATTCAGAAGTAAGGAAACGGGCTAGAATCCAGTTGGAATTTAGGAACCAATCAATTTTGTAAATATATATACGGTAACACTGTCGGATTGCATTGGATGGTCGGACTTATGTAAAGAATTAAGGACTTTAATTTTGTTTGTTTGGAAGGAACATTTATTGTGAGCTCTTGACCCACTGAGCTCTGGCGAAAATATCGGTATACGTATGTATGTACAGTGTACATAAGTACATATGTGTGGTGCGGAATAGCGGAATAACGTTGCGGGAATTGTAAAGACTTTTGAAATCCGGCTCGAAGGACCAAAATGTTGAGGCGGGGTGGCTTGACCGCTGAAAATAGCTGAAGTCCCAAGAACGAATGGTACGCAATAACTTTGGGGTTTTTACGCGACGTGCATAGATGTTTATTGGTTCACTTGGAAATAACAACTCGTTAAGCCTAACTTAACTTAAGCGCTCCAGAGCGGAACTGAGACTTAGGGGAGAGATGGAGGGAGAGCGGACAGCAGTGCGAGCGCTCGAGATGTAGACATCTGGATAAAACTGCCGCTCGACATTGCCTCCTGAAATTAAACGAACTTTTGACGTAAACAATATATATATTTCTGGCCTAATTATGAGAATGCAAATATTTATCATCATAAATGGTTTTATTGTTTTTCAAAGTATTCAGCAAGATTTATAAACTTTTGAATGCGTTCAATCCAATTGTCGATTTTCATTTTTCCGCGCGGGAATGACGTCTGTACGTCGGTTGACCCGTCAATTTGACGTTTTGGCCGGTCAAATCAGAGCTGGTCTGGCGCGCAATGATCAGTCATCTTTTTTCGTTTTTTGAATTATTCCGATGACATTAGTCAAACCAAATGTGGTGTAGCACTCAGTACAGTCGATACATGAACAGTTTTACCAAAGAAACAGGCGACCGTTTTCTTCAAAGGGCTTCTTCCACGAAAAACATTCCTTGGATTTGGCTCGTCTTCCAAGACTCACACGGTCGACTGCTGTTTTGTTTTGGGCTCACAAGCGTTGATCCATGATTAGTCACCTGTGACGATCTTAAAACGTGTTTTAAAACACCGCGAATGTATTTTTTAAAAATTTCCTGCACATGTCTTTTATTGAGCGGTTGTCAAATTGTACAACATTTTTTACGGTGTCTATCTCACGGTAGGTCACATGTCGATACTGGATTATTAGCTCACGCACGTCATCAATGTTGTCAAGGACAAATACTGTTTTTGGACAGCCTTCCTGATTGAATTCATTAAACCAGTTTTCACAGTGATATAGGATGGTGCTTTATCGCCATATAAAGATTAAGGTTCATCGATGCACTCTTGTCGTAATAATCCACCTCGAAAGTTGTGAAAGATGATTGCATAACTCCGTTGTTCTGTCGAGGTAAATTTGATCAAACAAAAACATCACTTAACAAGGTAAAAATCTAGTGACGATCGCACCTTCAACAAAAAAAAGTTCTGATATCAACTTTTGTGACGAAAATGTATTATACGATCTACTAAATAAATACACTTTCTAAATTTCTTACATTCGGCACTCTAGGAAAACGCCAGTTGGTCCTAATATGGCTAGAAGTGAACTTGGCCAGAAACTTAAATAGCAGCCTTCGCACTTTTTGGGGTCTAACACGCTTCCTCCTATTAGTCACATCCTTTTCCCCGAATTCAATATACCATATTAATCTACGAGTAACGAGTAAAGCGGCTAGATATTGAGTAAATAAGTTATCGCTGGAGATGATAAAACTTAACAAAAACAACACTAAACATTTTTAAGTTATATTAAAAATTTATGGTTTACTTTTTTTTAATTTAATGTTTAAATGGTAAATTGCTTTCCTGACCCAAAACTTCCCTTATGTTTCATGTTAATTTAAACAATTGTGCTGCAAAAGTTCTGAAGAAAAAGGGTTTCCGAGGTACAGAAAGGTATTCCTGCCCAAAACGTTTCGCTTAATTTCAACATTAAATTATGTGCTTTGTTGACTTTGACAGTATTTCCATTTCCTCTGGGATATAGAATATTTTATCTTTTCATTATTACGAATTTAATTTTACACAAATATCACTAAAGGTAGCAAATATCCTTAAAAATTTAACATGGTGTAACTAACATTGATTATTTCTTATAACTGCAAGGTTATACAAACTTCGAACGAAGTTAACTTCATTTCTTGTTTTAACAAGATTTAAAAAGATTTAGACCCTCTAGACTTGTAGTGTTTGATATCCTAAGAAATCAGATAGAAATAATTCAGTTTATTTTAAGTAATTTATTATTTTTGAATTTTTAGCTATTGGGATATGCCGGCTCCATATCCACAATGACAGGTGTTATAAGTCCGACGGACTTAAGCCTATACTCAGCTCCAATGGCTGTATCTAGATCAAGTACCAGGACAAGATGGAACGAAGAGGAGCATAACGTAATTCCACATTCTGTATCTAGTACAAATATTGAAAATACCCAGGTTATATTAATGGAAGATTGTAAGTTTTCAATTACGTTCGGCGTGACTAATGTTGAATTTAATTTAGAACTCATTTCAGCGTCTGGACGTTATATAGATGAGTACTCAAGTCGTGACTATGTGTCATGATCTAAGCTCAATTAAATAAAAGCCATTAAACTCTTCGGCTTGGGCATGCCAAAACATTTATGAGCGAATCCACAATAAATAATGGTACCTTAAATACATACATAAATACCAAATGCACATAAATTTTATTGTAGCTGTTAATAATTATACTAACAACTCTTTGTTTGTATACATGCTTTGGTTTTACTTAAAGTACTGCAAATCAATGACTGTATAATGAGACCAGTATAATCGAATTCATTTATACCCGTAAAAAATAGAGAAAAGTAAATAAGAACTAAATATAATAAAAGCTCTAATCGGTGTAGTCGATTCACAAAGTCAAATAAAGTAGAGAATCTCTTTTAGTTTTTCTGTTTAAAAATAATTTTTAAAACATATAAAATATGAAAAGTATAAAAACAATATTCACGAGTGCACTTGAAGTATCCTTTGAACGCTCTTTTAAAGCCAGTTGGTTTATGTACCCGTAGCTACTCTGATTGATTTAAATATAATGGATAAATTCATAGAGGCTGAGTGACTTAATGTTTGTTCGACACTTTTGTGTCCTTGCCAAGTTGGGTTACTATGTCCAAAATATTATTAAAGACAGGCATAACGGAAAAATGTAAATGAACTCATTAATTTATTTGGAATAGTTGCACAATAAAATAAAACATTAGTTTTGTATTGTATTATAAGCTAACTTCGGCAAGACGAAGTTTATACTATAACCCTTGCAGATACAACCATGCCATGCTTACTTTGTTCAAATTAAGAACGTATTACTAAAAATATATAGAAATACTAAATGCTAAATTACATGCAATATATTTATAAATATTAAATATGAAAACCTCTTTTCCGACATAAATATTCCGATATGACGTAGTTGTCTGATTCGACGCGTTGCGACCTACATGTATAGGTCGCAAACTGGAACAAGACAATTCATATAGCTTTAAACCTAAAAGACTGTTTGCGCAGATACGGACGGATCGATAGAAGGAGTCGAATCCTCTGTTGTTACGGATTTGGAAACCTCGAAACGTTTCCATCACTGCAATGCAAACGTTTGACTGAAATAATGTTTCCCACTGCAAGGGTATACTAATAATTTTTAAATATTGAGAAATGAGCTTGATTTATTCGAAATAGGCGAGAATGAAGGTTGAGTTAAAAAAGTTTTACTAGTAAACGAAAATTTAAAATCAAATTTTGACTTCACAACACTCTGTATTAAATTCCAAAAATGTAATCTATTTTACTTTTCAACTATTAGATTTATAACTAGATATTATTGAACAGTATATAAAGTTTTAATGCCTTAATGAGTTTTGAATTTGTTACTATATTTGGATGAATTTATGTTTTTGTGAGATATTAAAATAAATTGAATATAACTATTGCAGGACTCTAGGTAGTAGGAAAGCCATCTATGTGGCTTTTAAAATCTTAAATTAAGAAGAAAAGAAGGATTTGCTTGTAACGTACTGAAAAAAGGGGATCTTTGTTATTTTGAATTCCAGATTTCTAAAATTTTATGAAAATAGGATAAAATCCTTAAAATTTTGTACAACTGGAAGAATAACGCATCTTAATAACTGGACGGAAGTCGTACTGCAAATATTTAATATTAAGTTATTTTACTTTAAGGTCCACTTGAAAGTTACAACACGAAATTATTTTGTAACTTTTGGATTTGATGCTTAATTTTGGAATACATTATCGAAAATTAAGGGTATACAAGGAGCCAATGTTATGACAATAGTAGGACTAATTGAACCATCTCTATACATGGTTAGGTTTAGATATGAATTGGAGAAGAAAACTGCTAAAATAATTCAGTAATTATAAGTATTGCTTTAACTCAGAAAGTAGGTATGTTGAAAATTATAGTAGGAAATTCGAAAATACTTCAAATTTCATATACCTAATGCATAAGTTAAATTTAAACTAAATAATCGCTTATAAAAAATGTTATATTATTTATAAAAAATAAAAAAGCAAATGAGAAGTAAAGACAATGTAATAATATAATTATTATAAGTGCCTAAGATTTTTTTTGTAAAAGAGTAAAAATGTTCTCACTTTCGATTATTTATTTCGAATATGGTTTTAAATTATTTATTATTATTATTATAAATTAATTATAATTATTTTAAATTAGTTTTAAAGCTAATACGTAAAACATTTTTATTTTATAGCAAAATTGAGAAAATCAATTTTTTGTAAATTATTCGATTGTAAAAACGGGAACAAGCCCAATTAACATGTATGAAATTGTTCGATTTTAATTAGAATAAACACACACATATTTGTCTTTCCTTTACAAATCGAACACATTTAATTAAATCACATTTATAATCTTCCTACAAATTTATTTTTGAGTTAGTATTCGTGAAATAAGAAAACACGTGTTTCCTGGTTGTGCTAAGAAATACATTTTGTAAATCAAATTTTTAAAAATCTTTTAAAAATAGTACAGCAATTCTTATTTTCACATTTTCTTATTTTGAGAAATCGAATTTTCAATCAGACTAAAAAAAATTTACTTATTTACCGAAGAGTAGTTGTTTATAGAATTTAAGGCAAGTTCATAATGTGAAAACTTTTTTTATATGTTCGTTCGGCTTGTAAAAAGACAGCAATGGGGTCGTGTTCACTCAGCTTTGGTCACACTGAGTGGGCATCTATTTCAACAAAATTTTGGTCTCAAAACTAAAGTATCTTTGAATTTGGACTTTCCAAGTTCAAAAATGTGATTTGAAAACGCAGTGTAAAAGAAACTCATAAATTTATATGCTTGCCTATAATAATGATTATTTTAATATGAAATTACCGACAAAATCAGAATATTTTGATGTCTGTAAAATATTAGTACAATAATAATCATAAGTGGATGGTAAAGGGCATGTGCAAAAACTAAGCAATACTTTAAATATTTTTAAGAATTGGCTGTGAATATGATCTTACGCTGTTTGTAATTTAGGTAAATATGAAAGTGCTTAATATAAATAATTACTAACTGTATTGCAATTCTAATATATACACACTACTAAAATAGACTGTAAACAAAAGGAGACTTGGTAATAAATTAAGAGAATATTTTGTTAAAGCAAAAAATAAAGATTAGCATTAAAATCATTGTTCAAATTGTCTTTTTTTAATATAACATATTATAAGTGTCATATCTAGCATTTGAGATGTCCTTGGACTTGCCTTCTATGAACGCCGCGAATATGCCACGCCCACTCTAACGCCCACAAACCGCATAAGTCTGTGGCGCCCACAGTTTTCCTGCTAGATACAATTTTTGCTGATATGTATTGGTCCTATCGATTGATCCAACAAAATGTCCCACCCACGTAACCATATATTGAAATCGCAGGTGGTGGCGCATTGCAATCTCGCTTTGCTGCTTGCATATCTCCATTTCCCATTAGCTGAGTAACGGGTATCTGATAGTCGAGGTACTCGACTATAGCTTTAAAACTAAGAGACAAGTTTGCATAGAAACGGAGACGTGATGTTGATCAAGAATATATATACTGTATGCGGTCGGAAACGTCTCCTTTACTGCGTTGCCAACTTCTGACTTAAATGGTTATACCCTCTGCAAAAGCATAAAAAGTTTCAAGCAAATCAAACATTTAAAAAGTATTTTTTGTTGAATCCGCTCGGTTTGTAATGAACGGGTCAAATATGTTTTGTAGAAAAAGATATTTCTTAGGGATTCAACTAATTCTTTCATGCCTGTTAATCAATTAAGTAAAGTAGGAAAAACTGACAACCATAAAAAACTAATGTTTTGGTCCGTGTGCTTACGTGGAGTGATTTTTAAGGTAATACGAATACGATTGTATTTCTACGCCCTGAAGTACTGAAAATACTGGTATACAATTGGGATATATGTTCCTAAACAACAACGGATTTACAGTTTTATAGTATTTTATATATTAAACCGATTTCTACCGATTGAAAATGTTAACAATATAAATAATAATAATTTAATAATTTAGAACCCTTGGTAAACTCGTCTTGAGCTAGATATTAGGTGCAGCTACTTATAAGATGCTTTATTCCGCATTCCTGCTTGATGGATATCAAAAAGATTATTTCATGTAGCTGCTTTCAATTTATTTTGAAATTCGACGACATCTGCACTCATTGTAGTAACGTCTGAAGAGTTGGCTGGTAGTCTGGGCTTACACATTTTTCGGCGTGTCGTTTTAATTTCTAAGGTTAAAAACCAGATAGACAGTCTTTAATGAGGTACTGAAAAATAGTTATAGAATACTAACCTCTATTTTCTATAGACTCTTTATTGTGTATATGCGTTTTTTCCGGCACAGATATTTTCAGGCTTGCTGTGACAATTTCTAACCTTCCTTCCTGACATCTCTTGGAATCAATTGAACTACATTTAGACGTTTCTTTAAGTCCTCTTGTTTTTTCTTGCTGTTTTTCTAGTTCAATGCCATTGAAGTGATTAATATGCTCTAGGCTAAGATCATGTTGTTTAGAAGATGTAATCATAAAATTTAAAGAATATACAAACCGATTTCCTTGGACTGGAGGCTGGAAAACGACATCTGCTATACTGCTCGGCTGCGGTTCATCTAATTGATGTAGGTTCCTTTGAAAAAACGAATAAAAGCTTAGTAGGTTTGTAAGAAGTCGAAATTATATAAAAGTAATCAAAATGATTGTAACTAGTGGGGCAAGCGTGGTTTTGTAACAGGCAACAGGGTGCCACGCCCACTCTAACACCAACTAACGCCCATAACGTCTATCTGGTAGCTACAAACGCCCAATAACTTTTTTAAATAAAATAAATATGAATAAAAACAAGAAAGGAAGTTAACTTCGGCAAGCCGAAGTTTGTATACCCTTGCAGTTATAACTATTAAATTTAAAAATGCAAAAAATTATATTCCCAATAGTATAAGATAATATGTCAAAAAAACAGAAGCTATAATTTGTTTTATATTATTTTCCCACCAAATTTCCGATCGTTCCTATGACAGCTATATGATATTGTCGTCCGACTTTAATAAAATTAAATTCGAAATTCAAAACTAATTAATATGGTTATAAGTTAAGAAACACCGAAACTATAATTTGTTTCATATTATTTTTCCACCAATTTTTCGATCGTTCTTATGCCAGCTATATGATATAGACGTCCGATTTTAATAAAATTAAATTCGAAATTCAAAACTAATAAAAGAATGTTATTTCCAAGCTTAGGAGGTTATATGTTAAAAAACACTAAAGATATAATTTGTTTTCATTTTTTTCCCGATTATTCCTATGGGAGCTATTAGAAATAAGACTTTTGAGAGAGTTTCAGCCCGATAACTTTAAAAATGAGAGACTAGTTTGCGTAGAAACGAACGGACAGACGGACAGACGGACATGGCTAGATCGACTCGTCTAGTGATGCTGATCAAGAATATATATACTTTGTGGGGTCGGAAACGTCTCCTTCACTGCGTTGCAAACTTTTGACTGAAATCAATATACCCTCTGCAAGGGTATGAATAGGTCCAGGTGCAGATGTATTCGATCTAGCTAATCACAGAAGAATTTAGCTATTTCTTATAAATGCATTGACAAGATTAGTAGAAAATAAAATTCTTGAGTATAAATCATAATCATTTTCTCATACTTACATGGGCCGTTATTTTACAAACCAAACACCTTTTTTAGGTTGACATTTTTGATTTGCCTGACACTTTTTTACGAATACTATTCGGAAAATAAGTAAGCACGTGTATCAGTATTTGGCCGAAAAAAATAATTTTTTTAGTTCGAATTTTTTAAAGTTTGTAATAAAACGTAAAATTTGCAATAGTACCCTCTGTTTAAAAATCTATATCTACAGATGTAGTTATCCGATGGACTTCATGTCTTTTGTATAAAATCCTCTGAAACCTTTTCTTTTTAAACAGTTTTTTAATTTCTGTAAAATTTTTTAATTATTTTTAATAATTTTACTGTTATAAAAAAGTTTGAAAAAAGATTCCAGAAAACGATGTCTGTTTAAGGATATTGATCCATTCACTGCATTATACCAAAAACCCAAAAATAAGCAATAGCCAAGCAGTTATGTTATGTTATGTTAAAATAATTGCATAATTAATATATTAAAAAGATTAAGAAAAGACTTACAAAAACAAATGAAATTAATTTTTAAACTACATTTTTATAAATATAGTATTGGTTAAATTAATACTCGTTTGTTCTTAAATAAATATATTTCCTTTTTATTATTTACAAATTATCAATAGACTGTTAAACAACTCAGAAATACAAACGCCACAAGGTTCTAATAAGAGCGACCGAGAGGGACAACTTGCTGCAAAGTGCATTCGTTGAAAATACCAGAGGCCTTATTACATTACATTTGATGTCTTAAAAACAAAAAATGGGTCCAACCTATAAAAACCGATTGTAGGTGACAAACGGGGAATATTTTAAAATGAAACATTTTTTTTGTGAAGGCAATATCAAAAATTTTTTTGGCCAAATCTGTTCGGTTTGTAAAAGATAGGTTCACATATGTAAATTTTTAATAGTTTTAAAGGTGTATAAAAATGTGAAAGGTAAGGTACATTACATGTGTGTACTGGTAGTAACTGACCATGTAAAGGCTATTAATCTTTATTTTTTAATAACGTCCATCTTAAGAGTTACTTGTTAACTAAAAACGGTATTCTGTGTATTCGTCGGAAAGTATTGATTGTGTGAATGGAAGCATTTCCGACCCTGTAATGTATATACAGGGGTGGTCAAAAGTATTTTCACAAAACAAAAGTTAAATATACTCATAATTTGAACTTACTTCTTGTTAACTTTGGCATCAATGGAAAGGTCATTTAATGCCGTTTGATGCAACACTTTTCTTAACCCAGTCAGTACTTATTGAAAAGGACGAATTTGTGTGAAAATCTACTTCTTAAACTTTTTTCCTCGTCTTGAAAACTTAAATTTTTTGATGCAAAGTTTTTTCAAACAAAAATAATATTAACTGCAAAAAGAATTTTGCTTATATTTTTATGATTTTTTAAACGTGACAATGTCGGAAGAAATTTGTATGAAAAAAAGAAAAATATGGCTCAAATTCATGTTTCTAAGCATTTTCAAAAAATCATAAAAAATATAATCAAAATGATTAAGAATGCGTATTTTCATTCTTGCATCAACAAACGCCCATAACGTCTGTCTGGAGCCCACATTTTGGAATAATTTCTTAAGTGTAAACGTGATTAAATCCCGACATAATTTCCTTCATTTGGTTATCCTGACAAGATTTTATTTCGATAAATAAGGCTTCTAAGCGTATTTTGTCACTACACCTGTAACCCATAAGCTCTAGTATTTTGGGTATAATTAATTATAGAATCACACTTTTTATTTGCCTATATGCTTATATCTTTATGACTGGTCAAACAACTTTAATATGTTTTACACAAATGCTTCGTTGCAAGTGTTATCTAAATGTTCGTTTTTGATTTATTATTTTAGCATAAACACAATAGAAGATATGCGCGTTAAACATTTTAAAGTCACTCCAAAGTTAAGTACTCTTTATTTGTAGACAGCGTTTAAAAATTAAATAAAAATATTTTCTTACACAATTTTTTTTTACTCAAGAAGAACCCAATTGCCAAATCTTAAAACCATTCCCGGTTTCTGTGTAATGTTTTGGATTTTCTAAAGTCTTTTTTCTCAATTTGTTCCCAGTGACTATTCGTGAACTGTTCCCATATTTGTCATAGGTAATTTACTTTGCATTACTAGTATAAATTAAAAGGAAAGCACCAGGATATTAACACTTAATATTCTTGATATGAACACTGCTGGTAACGTTATGTACCTATACAAGGCCAATCAAATATATTCAGTTATTCAGGTCTTACCATTCGTATCCATTTATTTTTGTTGATATCAGCTCGTATAACTTTTCGGGGCAAGCTTCCAGCACTCGTGTATAGATACCATCAAGCAATTCTGCTGATATCTTAAAAATTTCTTCATAATGATTGATCATGGTCCTGACAAAAATATAATAATTAAAATCAAATGTACAGTAATACCAATGTAATATACACTGAAAAAATACGTTCGAAACGTTGAAAAACCAAGCCCAAACGGGGTCAAAAGGTGCGTTAGCCCGTTTGTTGACAATTCACAAACGCTCGTCATATAATTTGACCGAAACCTTAAAACATAACAAGGAAGGAAGTTAACTTCGGCAAGCCGATGTTTGTATACCCTTGAAGTTATTATTATTAAGTTTAAAAATACAAAAAATGATAGTCCCAATAGAATAATATGTCAGAAAACACCGAAGCTATAATTTCTTTCATATTATTTTCCCACTAGTTTTCAGATCGTTCCTATGGCAGCTATATGATATAGTCCTCCGATTTTGATAAAATTAAATTCGAAATTCAGAACTAATTAAAAAATGTTATTTCCAAGCGTAGGAGGTTATATGTTAAAAAACACCGAAGCTATAATTTCTTTCATATTATTTTCCCACTAGTTTTCCGATCGTTCCTATGGCAGCTATATGATATAGTCCTACGATTTTGATAAAATTAAATTCGAAATTCAGAACTAATTAAAAAATGTTATTTCCGAGCGTAGGAGTTTATATGTTAAAAAACACCAAAGAAATAATTTAAAAAATTTTTATTCCTATTATTCCTATGGGAGCTAAAAGATATATAGTTGTCCGAGTAGTTAAAAGTGAGAGACTAGTTTGCGTAGAAACGGACGGACAGACGGACATGGCTAGATCGACTCGTCTAGTGATGTTGATCAAGAATATATACACTTTATGGGGTAAATTTTTGGCAGAATCATTAGTTAATCTCCATAGGGGAATCGCTGAACTCCACCACCACCAGCTAAAGTTCAGCTAAAGGACGTGGAAAAAGGAAGGAGGAAAAAAGGCCACCCGCTAAGGAACAGCTTTAGGAGACATTACCAGCCATTGCCAACATGCTGGGCGACTTCCTGCAGCAACAGCGGAACTACCCCGTTCCCAGATGGCTGCCGATGGCGAAGCATCCGCGGGACAAGGTCTAAACTTTAAGCTTTAATTTTACATTAAAAAAACACCCGTTAAACATTCCATTTATTATACCCGTTTCTCGTAGAGTAAGAGGGTATACTAGATTCGTCGGAAAGTATGTAACAGGTAGAAGGAAGCGTTTCCGACCTTATAAAGTAAATATATATTCTTGATCAGAATCACTAGCCGAGTCGATCTAGTCACGTCCGTCCATATGAGCGCTGAGATACCGGAAACTATAAAAGCTAGAATGTTGGGACTAGGCATGTAGATTCTTGTGCTTCCTGCGCAGTATAAGTTTGTTTTAGCAGGGTGCCACGTCCGTTCAGCACTCACATTTTTACTATTTTGTAAAAATTTGGTTTTTATTATCAATACCCACCTACATGCCAGAAATGATTCAAATCAGACTGTTTGTGTCTAACCGAAGTAGACACTTTTGATGGCGGGACGATCCCGTTGTGACAATGTTAACGATGGTTACTGTGATGCCGAACCACAGGCGATACGGTTGAGCTATCAAAGGATAGCTGGTAGTTGAGATAGTGTAGTATTACGAGCCCTATTACCGGAGGTGGGAAGGAACTGCGGAGATATACGTTGTAGATTGTAGGTTCCAACTTGGCTTCTGCTTGATTTGGTGGGTGCTGGACATGTTACATGAACACGGACCATTCATTAAAAAGTTATAGCCAAATAATATTCAATAAGTTGCTAATTCAAGAATGCAGAGGGTATAACGATTTAGTATACTATAGTGTTTATACAATAGTGTTTTATACTGTTAAAGATATTTACTCGGCTTCGGCCAGATTCGTAGTTTTCTGTGTCCAGTTCCCATGATGTAAGCCAATAGATTGGAAAGTTAGAATTTATAATTGTTTGTGTAGGCAAAACAGTTGCTTAGTGGAGCAGCAAAGATGTTTGTAAGTAGCTAGTGGAACATTAAAGACTGGTCAAGTTTGAAATCGGCTTTGTTGGAGGAGTTTATTTTTCTTCGTTTGAGCATTTATGCTCAGGAGAAGTTAATCGACAGCAGCATACGAGTGAATCCTTGCAGGAATTCCTTAATGCTCTTATTGAAATTGCAAAACCCATTTGATTGGACAAAGAGAGTCTGGTAAAGTTTTTCGATAAGGGGATGCCAGATGCTAGACAAGTATCAATTCAATCACGTGGTTCGTCAAATCCAGTTAACAAATGTATTTCGCAGGGTAATAAGGCTCTGAAAACACGAACAAAGAAGCGCTAGCTGCATCAGTTTGGAAGTGTTTTCGGTGCGGCACATAGAGAAGAACTACCCTGTACAGGAGAAATGTTTTAAGTGCGATCATCCAAGCTACTGAGCAGCACAGTGTAAAGCAAAAGTATAGGTCAAAACAGAGAGAGCAAGCAATGTCGTTCAGGATCCGGAATTTCAAAATTTAAAGGACTTTAGAACACATTTGCTGAATTGACAATATCCGACAAAATCGACTTGCTTTCCTCCAAACACGTATTTTGCGGCGATTATACGTTCGAAGTGTTCTCGGTGCATTTTAAAACAGGTTTTTACGTGCTGATAGTTTTGATCAAAGGTCATATATTAGACCATACCTCGAAAAACCGCTGGCTAGCACTACAAAGACCGACACCAAAAGGTGTGCAATTATATCTTATTATAAGTCCGCTCAGGATCGAGTATAGAGACAACAGACTTGCCGTTCAGATTGTATGAAAAATCGTGAAAGTGCAAGGGATGTCTATGTGGTCTTGTAATATAATTTGTCCCGGTGGCTAGACACCAATTTTTGGTTGCCATGTATAAGGACCTTGCCTATTGACTGCTGCTGCAGCAGATTGGATGTAGGACCGTATGGAAAAATGTATGCCCAAATTCAGAAAGCCAAATTGAGTTTCTTGAAGCTCTAAGGCTCAGTGGATTTTCTGTCCCTGTCTATGGTAATAAGAATGTGGTGGACGAGATGGAGACTTCGATTTATTCCGGAAAGCTCCATTACATAAATTGGCCGCATTAAGTTGCTTCATTTAATTGCGTTGTTCACTGAGTTCAGACTGTAGGGAAATCTCTATTGATGTAGACTGCTCTTCCCTTTTTTCCCCGCTTGTAGGTATAATTTGGCTGAGTTGCCGTCCAAAATGGGCAGGTTAGCACGAAAAGACTTCAGCCGTAGTAAAGCCAGAAGATTCCTTCATACGCTTCAGGATCTGCGATGGTTTTAGGTCAGGTTAAGCCTGCCCGAGTACTTTTACAATTTAACGGTCTTCTGTGCTCACACTGTTGGGTTTAACCATGCCCATGGTCACCTTAATTGTTCAAACTTTGGAGTCACTAACGTAATAATCTGTGATTTGTTTTTATTCAAATACATTTTTACAAATGCTGAGATTTCAGGATGTATTTAAAGTCAAGCACTTTAGTGATGCACATATTTGATGCATAAAATCCAAGACGCAAACGCAATGTTTGGAAAAAACCCAAAAAAATTTGGAGGGCTGTTTAATGCAGTTTTAAATAATTTTTACGCAAGTGTTGGAAAGTTGTGGAGAAAAACGGTTGCCAAGGTACAGAAAAAAATGTTCTGAAAATTCGTTTTGCATATTTTAAACATTAAACAAGGAAGAACGCTATAGTCGAGTACCTCGACTATCAGATACCCGTTACTCAACTAAAGTGACCAAAGGGAAATGGAGATATGCAAGCAGAAAAGCGAGATTAAAATACGCCACCTACCGGCGGTAGACAGATTTAAGCGTTATGGGCGTTAGAGTGGGCGTGGCAAATTTTTTTTTGGATCAATCGATATGTATTGACAAGACCAATACATTTCAGTTTTTTATCTAGCATGAAAACTGCGGGCGTCACAGGCTTGGGCGGTTTGTGGGCGTGGCAAACTTTTCTTTGGGTCAATCGATAGGTATTGATGAGAACAATACACTTCAGTTAAAATTTTTATTCTAGCATTAAAACTGTAGGAGCCACAGGTTTGGGCGGTTTGTGGGCGTAAGAGTGGGCGTGGCACATTGCTGAAACAAACTTGCGCTGCGTAAGAAGCTCAGGAATCTGCACTCCAAATCTCAATAGCCTAGCTCTTATAGTTTCCGAGATCGCAGCGTTCATCCGGACAGACGGACATGGCTAGATCGACTCGGCTAGTGATCCTGATCAAGAATATATATACTTTATGGGGTCGGAAACGCTTCCTTCTGCCTGTTACATACTTTCCGACGAATCTAGTATACCCTTTTACTCTACGAAATATAATTTAAGCTAGCTCGGATCAACAATCTCTTTAGCCAAAGTAAAAATGAACATAATTGAGAATTTTTAAAATTAATCTCATCAAAATACTTTTTATGCTATTTTAACTAAATTTGACTTGACTTTTGACTAATAAGGCGGAGCAAAAATTAAAAATCCCATTTAATTTATAAGTGCTTCAGCATTGCCAGAGCATAGGTTTTTGGAACACCAAGTTAGTTAAATAAATAAATATATATATAAATAATATCGTTAGCAACAGTTCTTGGAACTTTGTTTTTTTTTGCGCCGTATAAATGTTGAATGTAGGGTATGGTAAATAACTTTTTTTCAAGAATTTCAATTGCTTTTGTTGTTTCTGTGAAAATAAGCATATAATACTGCTAGAACTTTATATGCTGTAGTTGTACCGGTTTCTTGTAGAGAAAAATGTTACATTCGATTCGTCTAAAAGTATGTAACAGCTAGAAGGTGGTCCGATATATATATATTCTTGATCATGATCTCTAGCCGAGTCGGTTTGGCCAGGTCCGTCTATCAGTATGAACGCTGAGATCGGAAACTATGAAAGCTAGAATATTGGGATTAAGCATGCAGATTTTTGGGCTTCCGTCGCAGTGCAAGTTTGTTTTATCGAAGGGCCACGCCCACTTAAACGCCCATAACGCTAAAACCTCTGTAGCGCCCACATTTTTGAAGATTTAGTAAAATGATAAATTGTAAATGTTATTATTATCAATACCCAGCAACATGCCTAAAATTGTTATTAGAAAGTTATAACCAAATAATAAGCAATAGTTAGCAAATTAAATCGAGTGCGAGAGGGATGAAGATATGCATGCATCAAATCGGTTGTTTCCGGCAAATTGTGAATTCTCGGAAACATTAGAATTGCTGCATGCTTATCTCCATCCCTCTCGCACTCCCTTTACACACTTCCTTTCCGAACATATCCTTGATCGAGATCACTACCTGAATCCATCTAGCCATGTTTGTCTGTCTGTCGGTCCGCCCGTCTATATGAGCGTTGAGATCACGGAAACTATAACAGCTAGATTGTTGGGATTAAGCATGCAAATGCATAGACTTCCTGTGCAGAGGCAGTTTGTTCGGATGAGAAGAATTATTTCAATCGGACCATACAATACAAATTTATAAGCAAATAAAGACGTGATTGACGGTGTGCAACCCTTTTGCTGACTAACGGGTATCTAATAGTCCAGGTTGTTGACTATATCGTTTTTTTGTTTAATAAACCAGTTAAATACCGATATAAAATAAATTCAGCTCGAGCAATCTTTTTTCGGTAGATTGATTGTGACATTTTATGGTATTTTTTTTTAAATGATTCCTTTTAGTTTTTACGTCTCTACGAGAAAGATTATAAATACATTTAAGGGTCATACTGGAAATGTAAAACATAGTCTTAGAAAATATTCAATAAAGCTCAACTCAATATATTAATATAAGCGTGACCAACCTTACGACGTTAATTGCATCGTTCACATTTTCTTGCTCTCTGTCCCTTAAAAATGTGTAGTGTGTGCTACGCAAGATATTTGGAGCAAATACTGTTGCTAGATTATTGCTATCCATTTTATTTCCAAACATTAAACAGTTGCCGTCAGTAGAGCATATATCATCGCTATGGGCTGCTACCTTTGCTAGAAATACTAGTAAGACATACAACGTGTCTCTGTGTGGTATAGGAAGTAATCTAATTAAATGTGATATAGCCTCTAGTTGCAGGCGTCTGTTCCTTATACCTGAAATAATTTTTTTTAATGGTGATTAAATATGTAATTAAATAATACATACGTTGCGTTTTTAAAAAAGTTGAATAGAGACTGTCGCAAAGAAGTGGTTCTGGAAGGTCCCGTAGAAATTCTTTAAGCAGGGTTGCAACGTCATGCGGGCATGTATTGACAGAAATCCTAAAATTACAATTCTTATCGAATTCTTCGCGCAACTTACAATTAGAGGTTTAATAATTACTTAAAAAGAAGTCAATTTTTTCAGGTTCTTCAAAACTTACTTGCTTTACTCTTTTTTTAGATGTGCTCACTCGAAAGAGCCCAACTTTTTGCAAACCATTCTCTTCCAAATATTCAATACAGTTATTTACGAACATTGGTACCATGAGTACTAATTGATCTTGGTACGGCTTATAAAAACCTAGATCAGTGTCTTCGATTTCAAACTGAGACAAGGATGCTGATGGCTTTGGAACATTTGTAAAAGAGTCGCTAAAACATTCGGAGGGGTCCATGTATCCGTATTCCAGGGATTTAGATGGCAAACTTTCACATGACCTCACCTAAAAAGCAAAAGGTGTTACACTTAATCAAATTTATGTAAGTATTTCTTTAAAAATGAAAAAATAACTATTATAAATTAAGAAAATTATTTTTCTTAAGTTAAGCTTTTCTGGGTAGGTTTGTGTCCTCTTCTTACGTTCGAGTGGATGCAGATAAAGTATACTCTGTTAATGTACCACTTTTCACTCCGACATTCTAGGCATGTCATTTTGAAGAGAACGCTCTAGGAATAATCCGCCAATTTTTCGTTGTTGCTGGAAATTTATTTAAAATACTTTTAGTTTCATAGATAACCCTCTAAAAGTCTGACTACACTATTGTAATGTTAAAGCTCTTTGGGGTGAACTTGGTTTTTATACCCGTTAAATGTAGACTAGACTAGATTTTCTATTCCGACCCAATAAAGTACGAGTATATATATTCTTGACTAGGATCTCTATCCGAGTCGATCTTCCTATGTTCCTCTGTAGTATGAACGCTGTGATCTCGGAAACTATAAGAGCTAGAGAGTTGTGATTTCAGATTAAGATTCTTTAGCTTCGTATTTAGCGCAAGATTGCTATTCTAACGCCCACAAGCCTCCGAAAAATGTGACTCCTAAAGTTTTAATGCTAAATTAAAATTTCTAACTGAAATGGATTGCTCTCGTAAATACCTATCAATTGTTACCACGCCCACTCTAACGCCCACAAACTGTCCACAAACCGTCCACAAGCCATTCACAAACCGTCCACAAAACCGTCCTCCCAAAAGCGTTCATCTGAACTCTGAGGTCTCCAAAACTATAAAAGCTGGAATATTTGGATAAGCATGCAAATTCCAGAGATTATTGCGCAAAGCAAGTGTATTTCAGAAAGGTGATACGCCCACAAACAAATACAATTTTGAAATATAATGTATTTGATTCGTCAATATCTATCGATTGATCGAATATAAGTTTGCCACCCCTACTCTAACGCAAAAACAGCTAGAATCAGTGTGGCGACTACATTTTTAAAGACTTGTATATAAGTAAATAGAATTTTGCTTTGATTATCAATACCTATTTAAAATATTTGAAATTGGACCATGTTTTAAGATGTGATGACCGAATATAGTAGTCGGCGCTAGGTGAAGCATTGCAATCTCGGAAAAAATTGATTTGGCTTGCAAGATCTCCATGTCTCTTGCGCTCTTTTTAGTTGAGTAAGAGGTATTCTATATTCAAGACACTTGACTATAGCGTTCTACCTTGTTTTTGCAAGAGGTTGGATAAAAGAACATTCAGGGTTGGGTCCTTGGAATTTGTGTTATATTTTTTTTTACGCCACGTGACGTGAAACCTAGGTGGCGCTAGTGATATATCGTACACAGCCGATTTTTTGTAAGAATGTATCTCTATCCCTCTCACACTCTAATGAGTTTGATAATTATTATACTTGTAACTCTTAGAGTAAAAGGTAATAAAAGGTGATATTTTGTTCTTCACAAGTTTTGTCAACAAACAATAGTTCTGATATCAACTTTTGTAACGAATTTGTTTTATAGGATCTACTAAATTTACACTTTCTATATTTTTGTACATTCGGCACGCTGCAAGAGTATCTCTTTTCTTGACTTTTCATGCCGCAGAGGAGAAATAAGAGGGCTAGAAGATGCAGGTAACATATTGATATTCTCATTTGCCCTTAAATTGTTCAGCAATCTATATTTCTTATAAAATTAGCTTACGGTTTCCTGAGCATCTTCGAAAAGCTGTCCACTTGGCCAGCACTAGCATTGGATTACATTTTTCCCATGCGCTTATGTCTAATGTACTGTTAGGGTAAATTTTTTCCACGATACATCCAGCCCCGCAGCAAGCACGATAAGGAGCTGAGCGGAAAACTCATTGGGGGCGCAGGAAAGTCACGGACGACAAGCAATAGGGTGAGTCTGTTGCTAGACTCTGACGGACCCGCCGGGCCATGTGCCAGGTTATGGTCGTGACAAAGTATGAAGCAAGTCGCCTGGACTTAGCCGTGCCCTCTGGACCTCAGCTACCTGTGTATCAATTCGGAGATTCCTGATGTCCCAATCCCAAACGTCTCGACTTAGCGATCTTGCTTCTTGTAGGCTTCCCACGGTGTAGCTTCCGACGACTTGACTTGTTGTTCACGCTCTGGTGGTTGACTTTGTTCTTTGACTTTAATAAATGACTGATCTTGTTGGATTGGCTCCTCGTGATCGACTGACCCAGCTCCCAGAGCTCTGAGGCCTTATATAGGGCATCCGGTAACCGTTATTTCCCTTTTGCGCCCGGCCTGCTGGTACTCTCCACTCCCGGCACAAAGTCCATGGTTCCAGTTTGACCTTTTTGTTCTAGACCCACGGCTTCCACGCGCTAATTCTCCGCCTATCTGGTAGCCGGCGGGCCACCCTGTATAATTGCCGCTGCAATTTGTGGTGAGTTATTCAACTCCTCCCAGTTTCTTTTTAGACGTTGTATTGTAGTTAGTAACTATGTCTTTGGAAAAAATTAAAATGTTTTTTTTGCAATACACTTGTTATAGTGGATGAAATTACTGTTATTATAAAACCTGTCAGCATGAATGAATTTATACAGCTCGTAAACAACTAGTAAACAACTTGTGAAGATCTAGATTAAGACTTGATTGACTCGCTTGGAGAGAGGGATAATAACAGCTATATTGTTAGTATTGATCAGTATTGTCACATGGCGGTGTGGGGTCATTTTGGTATACTGTTTATGGACATGATCGTGACATTTTTATAACATCTAAACTTATTAAAATCAGTTTAATTTACTCGTAGTATGTAGCGAAACGAAACCTTCTGCCGAAACCATCCAAAAAAGTTAATAGCAAATAAACGTTAATGCTGGAGTAGTCTAGGAATGGCGAACGGGCGTTTATTGAGAACATAAATAGTTCACATTCACACAATAAAAAGTGAAAAAATATTATATATAAGATGTGCCACGAATAATACTTAACCCGAAGAGCAGCGATCTAAAAAATTAGTGGTCGGAAATAAAATGCCCCAATAAAAGCGGTGAACAACCAGGGGCGTCTAATAACAACAGATTCGCCCTATTGTCGGATGTTGCAAATATTCAATCCGAACCTAGACAAGCGGTCCTAATAAAAGTCAAAGCCGCTACCAATTAGGGAACATAATTCGAATGCCCTAGTCAAGAATATTGTTGCGCTGGTCGGGTATGACAATTTTTATTTTACTCCTCTTGGTTAAGGGAATATTCATGAAACAAAGCTTACAAAACAAAACAGAAGACCATTTCCGAGACCTTACGAGACTAAAAACCCCTGCTGCGGACTTCGGTCTGTTTGCGTAGCTTGTGAAGGCTTCCACAATTCTGAACCATGCCCTGCAATCAAAGACCCAAAAACGAAAAAACACACTAGCTGTGGAGAAAATCATACCGCAAACTACAGAGGCTGTCCAGTCTATAAGGATCTGATGAACAGCGTTCTACGAGTAAAATCTGCACGCTCCCAGAATACAAAAAATTAGTTCGTGCAATCTTAAACCTCACCTGACATTTTCTTTGGGAAAGTGGCCATTTCGTCATTTGGCCCTCTAAAATCAAACGAAGGAATGACACATGGCAGTGGCCTGATAACAGGACTAAAAAACCCGACGTTGATCCCACAAGCTCGATGCGCTGATCCGAATATAATAACCTCTCAGCAAGCAATAGGACAAATACCAAATAATATCGAAGCCGTGTTGTTAACCTTACAACAAAGAATGATGAACTTTATGTTCATCATAAAAACAACAATGCAAATCCTTATGCAAAATCAAAACATTCTAATAAAGATGCTCGCACCCGAACAATCTAAACGCCAACGGCGTTTCACGGCACAAACTTTAAATAACTCAATTCCGCATTGAAAACCACATAGGCGTATCGCTGCTGGCAGAAACGCACCTTACAAGTAATTACAACTTCTAAATAAGAGGACACATTTTAAATTGAATAGATCATCCAGATGGCAAAGCCCACGGCGAAACCGGAATCTTAGTCAGGGAACGCAACAAACACCACTTTTACCAGAGGATTGCAACAAATTATTTGCAGTTATATCTATAATATTATAATTAGGCCACTACAGTATTACTATCGCCGTTGTCTTCTGCCCACCGAGCTTTACAATAACAGAAGGGAAACTCCTGGACTTCTACAATTCACCTGGATATCGCTTTAGTGCAAAATGAAACTACAATGTGAAGCACACGCACTGGGGTTCACGACTCGTGACCTCCAGACAAGGGCAACTAAATGAACTAATGTACTATATATCCCCTGGCAGCCCTAAATACTGGCCAGCTGATCCCAGAAAAGTTGCGGACTTTATTGACGTCGCTGTGACAAAGAAAAACAAAAAATCAAAAACGCGCAAAATCTATATTGGACTTATTATCCGATCACTCGCCGGTCTTAAAACTCTTCTTCAAAGCCCACAAATAATCAATCACCATAATGAAGTACAACAAGAACGGAAGTTAACTGCGGCATGCCGAAGTTTGTTTACCCTTGCAGTTATAATAAATAATTAATGTTAGTAGCACCATGTTAAATTTTTAAGGATTGTTGCTAGCTTCAGTGATATTTGTGAAAAATTAAATTCTTGATGCTGAAAAGTTAAAACATTCCATATATCAAAGTAAAAGAAAATGCGATCAAAGTGAACAAAGCCACATTTTTTAAAAAATAATTATTTCATTTCATTTCAAAATATAATTTCTCTGACCGTTACTTCGAGAGCTATATGTTAGAGTCGTGCGATTTTTATTAAATTTAATTAGAATATCCTAAAAAATCAAAAAATGATATTCCCAATTTAAGCTTTAATTTGTTTCGTATTATTTTTTATATGTTAAACAAGAAAGGAAGTTAACTTCAGTTATTTAAAAGTACAAAAAATGATACTCCCATTAGTATAAGATATCATGTCAAAAAACACCGAAGCTATAATCTGTTTCATATTATTTTCCCATTAATTTTGCGATCGTTCATATGGCAGCTATATGATATAGTCGTCCGATTTTGATAAAATTAAATACGAAATTCAGAACTAGTTAAAAAATGTTATTTCCAAACATGGGAGAACGCTATAGTCGAGTACCTCGACTACCAGATACCCGTTACTCAGCTAAAGGGACCAAAGGGAAATGGAGATATGCAAGCAGTAAAGCGAGATTGAAAACGCCACCTACCCGCGATCTCAATATATGGTTATTTGCGCGGTAGACAGATTTAGGCGTTATGGGCGTTAGAGTGGGCGTGGCAAACTTTTTTTGGACAGTTCATGAACGGTCGTTCGTAAAATGTGACCGAAACTTTAGGGTCGGGTTCCGAACGAATGGTGTCAGTTTAAGAACATTTCGGGCTTAACCTGAGAACTTAAAAATCTAAAAAAAACGAGGTTTGTGTACACGCTAGACTTTCTGGACGCCTGGTAGAGATTTATTTAATTTCCCACCTTATGTTTTGTTATTCAATGTATTTTGGATATTTTGCTGAAGACAAAGAATTTATTTATTAATAGAAGTACATATAAACATTAGAAATAATATTTTAATAAAACTTACAATTCACGACCGTCTTCTCGCGGACTCGAACCTGTGCTACCATGTGTCGGAGGCGGACGCTCTAGCAGCTGGACCACCGAGCGAATTTTTCGTGTGCGGACAATCGGGACACTAGTCCTACATACATGTTTTTATGAACGATGTTGATAATTTATCGATTTCGATAGACTTTAACGCGTCTATCGCAGCTTTTTCATGAGCGGCGTTCGATATCTGAGAACATTTTTCGCAATTTGGAACCAAGTTGTTCGTCGGTAGAAATTGTTACGAACACCGTTCGATTTTCGTGAACAAACGTTCGAAATGTGAGAACTAAAAATGGAGAACGGATTGTTCGCATTTCATGAAAAATGTTCTTGATTTTTTTCGTTCTTTTTTTTCTGGGTGTAGTGGCGCTACGGAAAGCCGAGCCAAACGATTCTTTTTATTGGGTTTAGTACCCACTTTCCAGGCCAAGTTTAAATTGAAGACCCGCGTATTTAAGTAGTTTTCGTTTTTTTATTGATGTACACGCACACAACGTGCATCGTTATAAGTTATAAGCAAATAAAGTGTGCCATCTCTAAAACAACCGATTTGCTGCATGCATCTCACCATCTCCCTCACAATTACTTTAGCTGAGTAACGAGGCCATCCAACATAGCGTTCTTTCTTGCTTGTCTCACTTTCATCTCCACGTCGACGTGAATGACCAAAAACTAATTGATGGGACAAACAATAAATAAACAAGAGCTGGTGCTTATAACGGAAAACATAATTCTGCTCTTAAGCTGTTACTGCAAAAGCAGAATTTCATTTTTGGTTAAAAACGGCAGTTGTTGTCTTTCAAGTCCTCTACATACTGAGTACTGTCTTATTTTGTGGAAGACAAATATCGGTGGACAAATAGATGCTAAACCCAAGATTTTGGACCAACCACGAACTCTTTTTGTCTTCCTCGATTTTCGAATCCTTGCATCCTTACATATTAAATAAATAATAGTTTTAAAAATCTGGGCTCCACGTAATGGCCTTTAATTTCTCAGAACTTTTTAGTGAAATGTGCGATTTAAGATAGGTAATCGGGTATTGATAAACAAAAGAAAATCGTGTTACTATCAAAGACAGATTATTAAGATCTCAGACTTAGATTCCGTAGCCTTGTGCGCAGCGCAAGTTTGTTACGCGAATATGCCACGCCCACTCTAACGCCCAAAAACCGCCCAAGCCTGTGGCAACCACAATTTTCATGTTAGAAAAAAAAGTTTAACTGAAATTTATTAGTCTCGTCAATACCTGTCGATTGATTCTGTGATAGAAGAAAAATCAGAGAAGTCAATTAAGCGGTTACATTGTTTTCGCAAAGCTGACTTTCAGGGGCTAAATCTTTCAAGCTTTGATTAGTCCGATCTCTACTCATCCCAAAACATGGATAATGGCTATAAATATTTTCTACAGTACAGTAAATTCGTTTTTCAATTCTTGTGTTCCGTTATACTATCCGTCAGTCTCCAACAAACCACCTTGGTTCTGTAAAGAGTTGACACACCTAAGAATTAAGAAGTCCAGGCTTTATAGGAAATTCAAAGATACCGGTTCTCAATCTATTTATTATAGATACTTTAGTGCTCGGTCTAGTTTTACCGTGCTTAACTCTCTGTGTTACAAAAACTATTTAAATCGTTGTAAAGTTCAATTCTCTCAGAATCCGAGAAAGTTTTTAAATTTGGTTAACACTAAGCGTCCACCAATAATCCTTCATCGTTATTTTTTATAAGTATTACCGCAACAATTGATAGCGATAGCGTAGCCGATCTCTTTGTCAAGTTTTTTCAAACCACATATTCCACTTTATCTCATTTTCCACAGCCTTATTCGTACACTGTATCCAGGTCGAATTTAATATTTTGCCCCACATTAAATTAAAGCTCTTTGCCTGTTGATCTTCAACGTGGCAAGCCTGTATATTCACCTGGTCCTGATGGAATTCCTGGCTGCGTGCTTATTCTTCCTTTCTCAAATTATTTACTATATCTTTAAAATCTTCACAATTTCTCAATATGTGTAAGGAATCGTTTATAATTTCTTTCCACAAGAAGGGTAGCAAAGTGGAAGCATGCAATTATAGGAGTATCTCGAAATTTTCAGCGATCCCAAAGCTCTTTAAAAATATTTTTACTCCCCACTCCGTGTCAACACGGGTTTATGAAACGTGGATCAACTACCACTATCCCTTTGGAACATACATCATTTATGATAAAGCGATTTAAAAAACAACTTCAAACAGACCATATTTACAGTGATTTTAGTAAAGCATTTGACTCTGTTAATCACGTTCTTCTTGTTAAAGATTGCAGAACACAAATAGTAATTTAAAAATTCCCTCTCTTGCATACTCCACGTTACCTCCGGTGTCCCACAAGGGAGCCACCTAGGGCCGCCATTTTTTACTTTATTTATAAATGTCCTTTCCTCAGTTATAACTCATTCTCTTGTATTAATGTACGCAGATGATTTTAAATTATGCCTGCAGTACAAGGATACTTCTTGCCAGTCCAACCTACAATCCGACCTGAACAATTTTCAATCATGGTGCTCTGACAAATTAGAGGATTTAAATCTCTCTAAGTGTATGGTAATGACTTTTTGTCGAGTCAATCCTCAATATGCGACATACACTAGTGCTGGCTTATTGGACAGAATAACTCTAGTAAACGATCTTGGCGTTCTATTGGACCCAAGACTAAAATTTTCTGATCATATTTCGCCCACGGTGAATAAAGGTAGGGGTGCGCTTGGCTTTATTAAAAGGTCAATGGAATTTGATGATCCTTATATTACAAAGACCTTATTTATTTCCCTTGTCCATTTGATACTTGAGTATGGATCTTCGGTCTGGAGTCCCCAATAAGGAATTCATGTTAATTGTATTGAATCTGTACAGAAGAACATTTCGCTATTTAAGGCGCCTAAAGTGGGATGCAAACCTGATTTTAACTTCTTATTCTAGTAGATTACTCCTGGTTAACTTACCCCTTCCTAGCCAACCGCAGAACGAACTGTCTTTATTTACAACCTTATCCGAGGCGAAATTGGTAGCCCCGACTTGGTTAGCCAGCTAAACTTTTCTGCTCCATGCAGTTTAACAAGAAATTACATTCCCCTAATTTCAAATCATTGTAGATCTAACTATGACTTACATGAACCTTTCAGAGTTTTATGTTCTGACTATTATAGACTTTTTCCTATTATCTCAAAATCGGACTCTCTGCCTCTCTTAAAATGATCATACTTTTTTCCTCGAACTATATCTTTATTTTTCTACGCGTCTAAATCTCGCGAATTCGTGCCGCACGACACTCGGCAGCGCCCCTCGGTCGGTTGAGCGGGAGGCGTGGCCGTGGCATCCCTCGCGAAAAAAAAGATGCCACTGCACATATAATCAGCCAGCCCTGGTATTTGCAGTCTGGTTATTTTAATAAAGTCACAACTTTGTGTTTGTTATTTTCATGTGTCTTTGAGACTGGTCAAAACAATTTCAAACGCTTTTACGTAGCTTGTAAACAGCGTTAAAAATTAAACAAAAACATGTTCCTTTTCGATCTATTTTTGAGCTGTTCATCCGGATTCTGTGAACTATTTTGGATTTTTTAAAATTGTTTGTCATATTTTTTAAGCAGTAGTATCTTTTGCTTTTGTATTGCGTAGATAACAGCTTTTCGAAGGGGCTAGAAACAACATAGCCAAATTTGTAACGTATGTGATTTGTATACCCTTTCAGAGGGTATAATGATTTCAGTCAGAAATTTGCAACGCAGTGAACGAGACGTTTCCGACCTCATAAAGTATACACATTCTTGATCAACATCACTAGGTGAGTCGATCTGCATCTGTATCGGGTATCTGATAGTGGAGGTACTCGACTATAGCGTTCTTCCTTGCTTTTAACATATTAACTTCTACTCATGGGAAAATCATTCTTTTAATATTTCAGAATATCAAATAAAATTTAAACAAAATCGGATGACTGTTAAAGGAACGATCGAATAATCAATGTCAAAATCATACGAAGACCGTTATATTTCGAATTCGGCAAACACATAAGGTAGTAAACTGATAAGAAACAAATCGGTGAGCTCTGTACATACAATGCTGCCATAGGAACGACCTACAAGGGTATCGGAATTTCGGGTGCCGAAGTTAGCTTCCTTTCTTGTATTTAATTAATTACACCACAAATACCAGAGCTGACGGACTACAGGTGTAGTGGCAACTAATGCTTAACTAGTCGAAAAAAAATGCTGAAAAGAAAATGCCTGGACAAAATTTCAGTTGGCCTGTATTATGATTGCAATAAATTTACTACACAAATATGGAGAAACAAATTCTCTTGCATGCAGAACTTACATTGTCGTTTAGCTTCATAACACTTCCTGGGTTACTGCCGCTTCCCCGAAAAACTGAATGGTCCGATCGGTCCTCTATATTAGCGCTTCCTTCTCTGTCTCTCGTTAGGCAACATTCCAATGAAGTTCCAAACAATACAATGCGACCATCTTGATATATAGAAAGTTTTGATTATGTCGTAAGAATATTAATTTTAAGTTTAATGTGTACTTAATACTAAGGTAACGTACACTTTACTACCGACTGATAAGTTTAAACTTACTTTGGTCATCTTTCTTTCCAATATCAAAAAAGCTCGTGGTCAACGATTTTTTTTTAGCTGCGATACGTCGTTTTTTAGATATTTTCTTTAAATCTAAAATTTGAATAAACAAGAACAACTTTATAGCCATGATTGTTACAATTATATGTTTTATTTATTGGTTAATAACAGGTTAACTCCAAAAACGTGCCTACAATTTTGGCATTCTTAAAATATTTACCGAAACCAGATTTAACCTGTTCCTTTTATAAGTATAAGTAGCAAAATAGTTGTCTCAAAATCGTAAGAGGAGTAAAATCATTTTCGGATAAATGCGTTAAAGTTTTAAGTTTGGTGCTTAGGTAAAGGTCGTTAGCTGTAAAAATGTTTGGGTTCTAAAAAAAGTCTAAAAAAATTCATATAAAAATCACATTTTCACATGCCAAAAATGTTTATAATTTTTAAAAATAATGAAAATACACCGCTAATTAGATTTTTACAAAATTTGGAAAAGACATATTTATACTCGTTACTCGTAGAGTATAAGGGCATACTAGATTCGTCGGAATATATGTAACAGGCCGAACGAAGCGTTTCCGATCCCATACAGTATATATATTCTTGATCAGGATCACTAGCCGAGTCGATCTAGCCATGTCCGTCTGTCTGTCCGTCTGTCCGTCCGTCCGTATGAACGCTGAGATCTCGGAAACTATAAGAGCTAGGCATTGGGATTTGTCATGCAGATTCCTGAGCTTCTTGCGCAGCGCAAGTTGGTTTCAGCAGGGTGCCACGCCACTCTAAGGCCCACAAATTAATAACCCACTAACAAATACAAATTTTAACTGAAATGTATTGTTCTCATCAACACCTGTCGACTGACCAAAAAAAATTTTGCCGCGTTCACTTTAACGCTCACATATCGCCCACAAACTAAAAAAATCGTAAATATGAACGCGGATATCTCAGAAAGAGAATTGGGATTTCAGATTTAGATTCCGTAGCCTTGTAGGCAGTGCAAGTTTGTTACGTGAATATGCCACGCCCACTATAACGCCCACAAGCCGCCCAAGTCTGTGGCGCCCACATGCTATATAACAATTATAATTGAAATGTATTACTTTCGTCAATACCTATTGATTAACCCAAAAAAAAAGGTTGCCACGTCCACTCTAACGCCCATAACGCTTAAATCTGTCTACCGCCCACATAACCATATATTGAGATCGCGGGTAGGTGGCGTATTTCAATCTCGCCTTGCTGCTTGCATATCTCTATTTCCCTTTGGTCCCTTTAGCTGAGTAACGGGTATCTGATAGTCGAGGTACTCGACTATAACGTTCTACCTTATTGATTGTTATATTACAAAATAAAAAGTACAGCTTTTTCTTTAAAAAACTTCCTTTAATAGCCGCGAACATAACTTTTTTTAATCCATACGAATGAATCCAAGTCAAAACAAGGAAGAACGCTATAGTCGAGTACCTCGACTATCAGATACCCGTTACTCAGCTAAATGGAGATATGCAAGCAGCAAAGCGAGATTAAAATGCGCCACCTACCGGCGGTATACAGATTTAAGCGTTATGGGCGTTAGAGTGGGCGTGGAAAATTTTTTTTGGATCAATCGATAGGTATCGACGAGACCAATACATTTCAGTTACAATTTTTTATCTAGCATGAAAATTGTGGGCGTCACAGGTTTTTGCGGTTTGTGGGCGTTAAAGTGGGCGTGGCAAACTTTTTTTTGAGTCAATCGATAGGTAATGACGAGACGAATACATTTCAGTTAAAATTTTTTATCTAGCATAAAAATTGTGGGCGTCACAGGTTTTCGCGGTTTGTGGGCGTTAAAGTGGGCGTGGCAAACTTTTTTTTAGGTCAATCGATAGGTATTGATGAGAACATTACATTTCAGTTAAAATTTTTATTCTAGCATCAAAACTGTAGGAGCCACAGTTTTGGGCGGTTTGTGGGCGTTAGAGTGGGCGTGGCAGTCTACTGAAACAAACTTGCGCTGCGTAAGAAGCTCAGGAATCTGCACGCCAAATCTCAATAGCCTAGCTCTCATAGTTTCCGAGATCTCAGCGTTCATCCGGACAGACGGACAGACGGACATGGCTAGATCGACTCGGCTAGTGATCCTGATCAAGAATATATATACTTTATGGGGTCGGAAACGCTTCCTTCTGCCTGTTACATACTTTCCGACGAATCTAGTATACCCTTTTACTCTACGAGTAACGGGTATAACAACTGAGACATTTTTATAAAGTACTGCTTATAATACCCGTTACTAGTAGAGTTCATGGGTATATTATATTTGTTGGAAAGAGTGGCATGACCGCAAAAATGGTAGGAAGCCCATGCAGAAATTGTACGAAAAAACACGGGATCATTTTCGGTTTGTTGCACGACGTGGGCAACATTCCCCCCTGCGAGAAACCTGTTGCAAAATTGTCAGGATAATAGGCTCAGGAGCACGATGTATGACAGTGTCCCTTTCCACACTTGTGGCAGTGATGACCTCGAATTCGTCTGCCATTCAAGGCGGGAAATGGAACCCAATGTTCGGATGGATTATTTGTAGGAGGGACATTTTGTACGGTATACAGAGCAGATATTTTAGAAGGATTAAGTGTTTTGAAAACTTGCTCTGAATATGACGAATTTGTGTGTGGATTTGAGGCGGATACTGGCCTTGGAGGGTCGGATGGATTCGGCATAGTAGTAGGACCGCTGTTTCGATGCAACAACGTGTTATGCCGATCCTTGCAAGTGAAACAGTTGTGACCGCTTGTACAATCCCGGTATCGATGGTTGCTTGCTTGGAGCACAACTGTTTTCCTTGGATATAGGCTGAACGATTATTTACCGTCATTTTGAGGAAGCATGGACATATACTCACGGGGTAGTCCTTCCTTGAAAACAGATCGGAGGCTTTTAGTACTGAAACGATCCTAGTCGTAAACGAATTTAATTTTGGAACTTCTGCCATCCGGTATGTGTCTTAAGACTGGACGGCCTTAAGGGTTCGATGGCGCTCAGTCAAAAAGAAATCAAGCTCGTCTTTATTTTGGGAGATGGGAGCGCGAGCTTTGGGAGTTTCGACAAGCACATATAAACCATGATAGGGCCCCAAATCTCAATATTATTGCCGGAAAATTTTGAGGAGGTTGGGCAACCTTAAATAGAGCGTTGAAGTTTCTGTAAGGCTGCTCCAGACTCCTGTGCTATGGATTCCACATTGAAGAGAGTTTTCAGGTTACTATTCACCTGCAGGCGCTTATTTTCGAAACGCTCTGTTGGGCTTATCCATGCTGACCGTAAGTTATAGACTCGAATTGTTTATGTATATCACTGTAAAAAGGTCCCGGAAAGTCGGCCAGCGAAGATATTCTTTAGAGAAAAGCTCTGTGTTTATGGGAGGGAGCCGACAGCCATAAGACGTGGAGATTTGGGAAACTGCTGTTGGAGTTTAAGAACTTTTGAAGGAGCCCTGTTGGGTTTGTTCCATGAGCTGCTAGGTAAACATTTCATAAGTGGAGTACGTTTGGTATTATACATCTGGAGAAAACTGCCGCTCGACACTTTCTCCAGAAATTTAACACACTTTTGACGTGAAAAAGGTAAAAGGAAGCATGTCCGAACCTATATAGTATACATATTAGGACGGTTCGGTTTTTGTGGGGCCGAAAAAAGTGACAAATCGTAAACGTAATCTTTAAAGGATTGTGAGCAATATTTCGGAACCAACTAATGGTCACCCCGCAATGTGTGGTGATAAAAATAGACTTATTAATTGACAAATATCAAACGGAATTCAAACACAATCATCGGTCAAACGATTTTACAAACACATTCGAAAATTTATTCTAACTAGCAATGTCGCCGGCAGCATCGCCGGAAATCCGGACTGATAATGTCGCGAACAGATCGGCTATATCCTATACCTGGTCATGGGTTTATTTATGCCACTAAATTAAACTCAATTAATTCCTGATATGGTTTTGGAGTGATTTTTGTGGTTTCGGCATATTTCACAATAAATTACAATATTTGTTTAAACTCTGCAATTTTTTTTACAATTTCTGTAAGACTTGCCCAAAAACGATTTTTTTTTAATTTCCCTCTGGTGCAATAATAATTAATCAGTATGTATTCCCCTAAGTTAGATTTGTTCAGCACATTTTATTTGTTTCATCAAATGCCTTTTAAATTTTTCCCGTTAAAGCCTAGTACTCACAACGACGAAAGCCGCAAGATAACCATAGGGTAGAGCAAGAGGCAAACCGGGGGCTAACGCTTTTCGTCGGATCGGTTTTTCACCGCAGTGCTCAGATAAGCTAAGTAAATACCAGAAAAAACAGATTTCGTGAGTGAGTTCAATTGAACGCCGTTAGCCGCCGCGCAAAGAATAAGAAATTTAAGTTTTCGGTGTGTTCGTGCAGAAGCGGAGTGGACACAACAATTAAAAATAGAAGAAAAAACTCAAAAACGTTTGCAGGAGGTCAGTGCAAATGATTAAGGACGCCCAATCCGAGCTGTTGCCCAGTATTGTGGGACTTTACGCACAGGAAGCTATACCACAACAGGACAAATACGCAGAATAGTGGAAGTGCTAGAGATAATCCAATCGAGAAGCCTATTGGGAAGGAGCACGACGAGTGGGACTTCGCGCCCTACATGGGAATCGCGTTGGAGGTGTCGACGAAAAAAATGTAAGTTCCGGCCAAAATAATTTGATTAGGTTGTACTAATATACTAATAATGTACTTTTAGGAGAGCTTAAGCGGAGCTGGAAGACACGCTGGCTTCTATACCGGCTATTGCCACGGTGCTGGGCAACTTCCTGCAGCATCAGCGGAACAACCCGTTCCGAATTCGGTTCCCATTCCTTTAAGGCCCATGTTAGAACTCGTCTTTTTTAAATTGCTCAGATTTTTCGTTCAAGGCCATCGCTAAAGGCATTGCGAGTTATCTTTGAAAACTTTGGTCACACTACAATAAATAAGATTTTCGACTAGTAAAACTCTTAGCTGATCTGAGTACTAGGCTTTTTTTGGGCTTATTGAATTTCTTGGCCGATAATAGATGCGGTCAGGTACAATGAA